TTTATTTATTTGACAGAGGGAGACACGGCGAGAGAGGGAACACAAGCAGGCAGAGGGAGAGGGAGAAGCAGGCTTCCCGCAGAGCAGGGAGCCCAATGAGGGGCTCGATCCCAGTACCCTGGGATCATGACTGGAGCCGAAGGCAGACGCTTAATGACTGAGCCACCCAAGCGCCCTAGGATGTACTTTTTCTACAGCTTAGGGTGGCCACCGCCAGTACTGGCCAGCTCCCCCCAGCATATTCATCCATCCAGCAAGCATGACCAGGCACTTGCTTTCTGCCAGTTCTTGGTAGATGCTGTGATATCAAGAAGAGCAAGTTACACCTTTGTCCCCATAGTCGGCAATGGGGAGAACAAACCCAATGTGTGACACCCATGAGGACGGGTGAAATTCAGGAGGCCAGGGGAGCACAGAGCTGGGGCTCCTAACCCAACCTAGTGAGAGGCTCACACCAGGAAGGCTTCCTGGAGGAAGTGAGTTTGAGAAGAGGTCTGGAGAACGAACAGGAATTAGATAGGAAAGGGGGGTGGAAAGGGGATTCCAGGCAGCGATACAGCTTGGACAAAGGCTCACAGTCAAAGTGATGCAAGGTGCATTGGAGAAATTTATCAGAAAGCAAACAAATGAATTTTTCTGGCAATCTGAGCCAGAGAGAATCAGCAGGGTGGATCTGCTGCTATATAAGTCAATTCAGTATTGGATAGTTGCTCTATATTCAGCCCTGTGCAGTGTACAGAGAAATATGAGGGGTGCTCTTTGCACTCAAAATGCTTTCTCCCTCCCTGGGGAGACAAGAACCATTGCATTTTAAAGACCAGAGAATGGGGGGCACCTGGGTGGCTCAGTCAGTTAGCCATCTGCCTTCGGCTCAGATCATGATCTCAGGGTCCTGGGATCGAGCCCCACATCGGGCTCCCTGCTCAGCAGGGAGTCTGCTTCTCCCTCTCCCTCTGCCTCCCTCTCTCTGTCTCTCATGAATAAATAAATAAAATCTTTAAAAAAAAAGAAAGAATTTTTTTAAATTCCAGTTTCAAAAGTAACTTCTGTACACTGTAGAAATTGGGGCAGGGGAGAGAAGGAG